CGTTCAAATTGCAATGCCTAAGTAAACAAAAACAGAGTTGTCTTTGTATATCGACATCCTTAATTTGTCGATATTGTTGCTATAAGAAAAATAATTCTACTTTTACCAATGCGGTGTGGTAAACCCTAAGATTTACTGTTACGGGTCCGGTAAAAATCTGAAATGGAAGCAAAATAAAGAAGTTTTCGGGCTTTTACCACTTGGTTTTGGTAAATCCTAGGTTTAGCGCACTTATCCTAGGTTTTACCGCATTTCGGACATTTACAGTGACATATATAATGGGTAACTGTATGTATGATCCAATGTAAAGTGATGATAAGGTTGCGAATTTTCGCTCGAGTTATCCCATCACTAAAGAATAGTTTATATATAAATGATATTCATATTCTCTCGATTAACAGAAATAAATTTTGATAATTTTCAATCCCTTGCGAACACCCAATGAAAATTTCAGCATTTAAATTTATTCAATCTACGAAATTTCATATAATTATATTACTTATTTAATTATAATGAATACACGGTTCCAAAATATATCGTACAATTAAACATAATAAAGCTTATAAAATTAACTAGATGATATTTATATTTTTTTATAATTCGGATGATGATTGTATCTCCAATTATAGATAATAAGATAAGGAAGATAATGCAACGGTATTATGTATTTATGTTATCCCCGAATTCCTGTTTTTTAATTTCATAATTATTTTTAGAACTAATAAATTATTTATTTAAGTGAAATACAAAAAGTATTATTGAATAAAAATATGTATGGTAGATATGTATATTATTTATCAACTAACATAGTACCACCAAACAATAAAGTGCAATGTTTTATTTGTAGTACGGATGACCGAATGATCTGTAATCGACAGTTGCTGTCATTTGTTCTTATAATTTTGTTATATTTTAATTCAAGTATTTTCCCTATTCTCTGTATCTCAGCAGCTGATTATTTTAATATAATAAAGTATATTAAAATTCCTAAATTCATTATAAACCTTCATTCAGAACCTCTCAATTAGTGAAATAAATTAGTGACTTCAATTACACTTTATACCGTATGATCGAATAAAAATGGCGTCAACGATGGCTATGAGATGAAGATCGCTATCATTTTATATGTAAAATTATATGGGAAATGTCATCAATCGTCATTTCCAAGCCAACTGGACGCCGTTTTTTTTCGATCATACGGTACTTTTTAGTTTACGATCATTCATAATGTCTAAAAAACAATTAAAATTAATAAAATATGCTAGCAACAGCTTGCGGTAGTCTGTTGTATCCATAGAGAAAGCATAATATTTAGCTTAGCAAACAATAAACTTTTGATTTCTAACCAAAATTTTTCTTGACGGGTGATAATCACAGGCCAAAATGACTTTTCTCGCAAATTTTGAATGTGAAGTGGAAAAATCAAAGGTTTGTTAACTTTTTCCAATAATTGAAAATTACTACCATTAATTATGGCGTTCTGAATGCTTACATTAAAATTAGGTGAACAAACTTCTACGGCTAATTGAAACTACTAATTTATTCCACTGATTTCGAGGTTTAGAATGAAGCTTTAGTGGTGTCAATTAGCGTAGAAGTTTGCTCCTTTAATTTCAGTGTAAGCGTTCAGAACATCAAAATTAGTGAATATAAGTAATCTTTTTACTCTTTTTCAATTAGTAGAACTTTTAACTTTTCCACTAATTATACTTCAAAATTTGCGAGGAATGTCATTTTGGCTTTTGATTATCATCCGTCAAGAGAAATTGTTGTTAGAAATCAAAAGTTGATTGTTTTATAAGTTAAATATTAAGCTCTCTCTATGGATACAAGACTACCGCAAGCTATTGCTAGGATATTCTATTAATTTTAATTGTATTTTTTAGACATTGTGAATGATCGTAAACTAAAAAGTATAAAGTATGATTGAAACCACTAATCTATTCCACTAATTGCGAGGTTCTGAATGAAACTTAAGAGATTGTGTCTATTAACGGAGCATAATATACTGAGTGCTGCATCTTCTTGGAAACATAGGAAATCCCATGCCAATTTTGAACTGTCCCAAAATTGACTATCCTGTTAAATTTGCAGTACAGTCGTAAATGGGTACGTTAAAGGTCTGCGTATGCTTAAAAATAAATAATAAAATTTGAACAAGCCGATTTTAACTAATTTAATAAAAACAACACCAATTTTTAAATTAAAACTGACCAGGTAGCAATTTAAGTTATCAATCTATGATTTTATCATTGTCAAAAAAAGAACAAAATCAACAGGGGAGCCAATATTTGGACAGTTCAAAATTTGCATGCCAATTTCCTCTTTCCATCGACGATGCACACCCAGTATGTCAGCCCCATTTTTCTTTGCAACTTTAATTAACCTTATTACTTATTTGTTTAACGCTTAACTGAAAGACTTCGTTTAATTTCCAACAGATCAGATCCAAACTGATGGTTTTTAAACCAATTAATATTGTCTGGATTTCAATCAACAGCCAGATGATTAAAGTTCGGTATTGCATATCCCTCACCTTGACAATTATTTTTAATTTGTTGTTAAGTTTAGTTAACACAAGCATTGTACACGCGTGTCTATATATAAATTAAAATTGTCATTGTTTATTGAAATTCCTTCTGTGATTCTCACTAAATATAGTTCAAATACCGATTACAAAGTGTGTAACAGCTAGATCATTGCTATAGTTCTGTAAGGTTTGGCTATGTGATGTCACAAACTTGTGACAAAAATTGAATTAAAGTTATCGTAATTCTCAACAGGAATTACAATGTATTTTGGCTAAAGAATATCTCGTGAATATTTTTTATCATTATTTTCATTCAGGGGCGCATATACGGGAGGGATAATGGGGGTAATTACCTCTCCCAGAAAGACATTTATAAATAAGATAAGATATGGTATAAAATAAAATTCTCACAACAAAGGTTAATAGTACCATACAAAATAGAAAATTCAAAGCAATCCAAGTATATCTGTTTTACAATAACCATACTTTGTTTGATCAAATTGACTTCAAAAAATATATAAAATAGCACAAAGGGAGCATAACTTCTTAATAACATTTTGCAAAAAATTAACAAATAAGGGAGTGAGAGGGTAGTGGTCGATTTTTCAACCAGAGCCTGTTAAAGCAAATAGATAATATGTATTGATCTAATGTATATGTCACTGTAAATATCCGAAATGCGGTAAAATCTAGGATAAGCGCGCTAAACCTAGGATTTACCAAAAACAAGTGGTAAAAGCTCGAAAACTTGACCAAGACATCTCTGTTTTTATTTACTTAGGCATTGAAATTTTAACGATTATCGTTTCACGATATCGATTTTTGTAACGATCAGTCTTATATTTGTTATTGTAAATGTCCGATTATGATAAGCGCGCTAAACCTAGGATTTACCAAAAACATTAACTAATTAGGTTAGCCTGGTTATTTGGAGGGTGTTAATGCATTGGTTAGCCTGGTTATTTGGAGGGTGTTAATGCATTGGTTAGCCTGGTTATTTGGGGGGTATTAATGCATTGATTAGGTGGTTATTTGGTGGAGTTGATTGGTTTTTACTACCACTTGCTTATTCGTACTTTTACCAATGCGGTGTGGTAAATCCTAAGATTTACTATTTGGGTCCAGTAAAAGTCCGAAATCGAAGCAAAATAAATAGTTTTCGGGCTTTTACCACATGCTTTTGGTAAATCCTAGGTTTAGCGCCTTTAACCTAGGTTTTACCGCATTTCGGACATTTACAGTAACATATATAATGTATAAACTGTATGTATCATCCAATGTGAGAAAAAAGAGTAAGTTCATTTTGATTATCTCTGTTAGCTCTCTACTCAAAAATATGCCCATATCAAGTAAATCAAATTTTGCTTTTCGAGAAACTCGCATCCTGTGAGAAATGATCGAAAATATGGAGGATAAGTTAACGATTTTAGAAAATATCATGCAAGCCGTAAATTTGTTGCACTAAATAAAAAGAAATAAACGTCACAGATACATTTGTTTCTATATTTTTAAATTTTTATCACACGAAATTTGCATAGAAAATGCTTAGACTACAAATATTACGCATATGACACACAGTGAACTGAGTGGCATCAATGCTCACTGGTCGAATATTCAACTGCTCACGTTAACTTTTCGTGTCAGTTCTGCCAACATATAGATATGGTTGATTAAATGTCCAAAGTGCCCATAGAAATAAGCATAGCAAACAAACTGGGCGGTAATACACTTCCACGCGACTGATTAGTTGGTTAAATTAAAGTGGTTTATTTAGGGACCATCAACATATAATGGGTTAAATTTTGTACTTTATTTAGATATTGCTGTTTTCATTATTTTTTTAACGATATGTGTACCATTAATATACAAGGGAACGATTTGAAAAGTAGAATTCGGAAATATTGCTCTTAGACAAAAAACATTATCAAGCAGATCTCAAATACATATCGGAGTATTGAAGGAAAAACATTAATGACATTTTTTTCTCTAAGAGATGGTTGAACAAACTAATTTTCAAAAATGTTGCTTATTTTTAAAAACTTATGTTTCAAAAATGAATCGTGTGATGCCAAGCAAAGTTGATTGGTCGTGTGGGGTGGAGTCATACAAAAATTAACTTATTTTGGTTTTCTCTGCAAACCTCCTAGTATTTTATATAATGAGAAATTCCAGATTAGTTACTTTTCAAACTATTACCCACTATATGCATTAATTTGTTTTTTTTTTTATTAAATTTGTATTTGCATTTTGATTAACACCAAGGAATAATATGTCATAAAATTACAGTTGTAATATTATCTGTATATTAAAAAAATAATTAAGGCTTAAAATAATAATAATAAATTAATCAGTATAATCTAAATTGTATATTATAGTGATTAATCCGAATAAAGGAGGCTATGGTGATAAGACAGTTCCAAAAATAGTCAAAAGAAATTGACGGCTAAAAATAGATCATTCGTATACTTACATCTTTCAGCAAACGTGAGAATTTTCTGGGTCTTCGCGTGAAAATCGTCATCTTCCTCCGTAACAGTGTACTTGAAGGGCTGATCCGATTGCATACCCTGTTCCTCCTCGATTTGAGCCAAATATTGGGGAGGAATTTGGGGAAGCACCTTCCCCGTTATGTTAGGGGCTTGACTAAACCCCATTCTTCGCAAAATCTCTTCTCTAAGAAGATTCAAGTTCTGCTTTTTCAATTCCTCTCTATGTTTACAACTGTTGCATCCCCCTGTCGGCGGCGAAGCTGGAAGCGATGGATAATCTTCCGAAAACGATGTGTCCATATTATATTTGCTCTTCTGTATGTTGTTTGAACTGTGTTTATCACTAGTCACTGTGCAAGGGAATAATATTATGAAGAATAGTAAGTGAACGAAGCGAGTCCTTTTTGTAAAAAAGTTAGAAAGTTTCAAGGACATGGTTTCGAGTTTTTTGGCAAACGTTTGGTTCAACATAGAATATATACGAGTCGTTTTTTTAAGAGTAATCGTGCAATTGTCTGAATATCATCACTGGGGTGGGATTAGTTTTCGTATCACAAGAATTTTCTTCAAGATCAAAATTTGAAAATACTTCGAGTTAAAAAATATCACAAAAACTGAATATGTCGGATGGTGTTTCTCGAAAAAATCACAATGATCACATATGTCGCGGTGCAGCAAAATCAGTCTTGATTCTCAGTGGTATGTGTGTCGGGTGGCTTACCGAAATAAAGTGATTTCGAAAGTCGCGCGCTTGTCTTCCTCCGATGTGTTTCTCCTATCGTATATCGAGACGACGGTATTTAGCGAGCCGTACTGAAAAATATGTGGTAAAGTGACCCTATATATGTGTGTAAAGCTCCGCACGCGATTGGTAGAGGTGTATCGCAGCGATTTAGGCGCAGGCTGGCGAGTTTTTTCAGCTTTTTTCGACGGTTCGCGGGGATTTTCGCACCGTGTAGGTGGCACTAGTACGAGGGTTGATTACAAATATGTATATCTTCAACAATTTAAAAAAAAATAAAGTTTTTTAATTCATATAATTTTTTATTTTTTCAGAAATAACACTATTTTTTCTCTTAATTTTACCCAATGTTTAACCCCCGCACTGTACAGCTATCTACACGATTAACAAAATTTTAAAAATTAGTATTTTAAACAATTCAAATATTTTTTTAATTTACTTTAATATTATTTTATTATTGTTGTTTCTGTTTAGTTTTTAAATATTGTTTTATTATTTTGTATTTTTTTCAATTTTACTCACGAGGTTTCCTCACCGGAGAAATGGCATTCAGATAATGTATATTTTCAACAATTTAAAAAAATAAAAACTTTTAATTACTATATTTTTTTTAATTTTTTAATGCTACTATTTGTATTTTTTTATTTTATTTTTTTTTCCAATTTTGAAACCCCGCACTATAGCCATCAAGCCATCTACACGACTAACTAAATGCTGAGAATAAATATTTTAAACAATTTAAATATATTATATTATTTTCTTATATTTTTATTTCGGTTTTTTATTTAGTTTTTTAATATTGTTTTATCATTATTTTGTAGTTTTTTTGTTGGCTTGAGTTCGAAAGAGTAGAGATGTATGACTACCTGGGTACAAGTGTCGACTGCACCGCGGATTATATTATTGTTCAGAAATAAAGATTCGCATTGAGAAGGCCCGTGCATCCTTTGTGAGAATTAGAAGCTGCTCTGTAGCCGCGATTTGAGCCTAGATCTGAGAACTCGTATGCTCAAATGTTATGTATTCCCAGACCTTTTGTATGGTATGGAAGTTTGGACCCTCAACGAGCTTTGCGAGCGGAAACTGGAGGCCTTCGAGATGTGTAACCAACGTGGAGGTTTTGAGAAGAATGAAGAAGGGCGTAGAGATCCTCAAGGAAGTGAAAAAAGAAAATTGCAATATCTCGGCGATATCATGAGAGGTCCAAGGTATGAAATTTTGCAACTCATAATTCAGGGAAAAATTGTAGAAAAAAGATCTATTGGAAGGAGAAGAATATCCTAGCTCAGAAATCTGCAAAAATGGTTTAATGTCACGTCATCTGACCTATTTAGGGCCGCAGCTTCCAAGGTCAAAATAGCAATGATGATAACCAACCTCCAATATGGAGACGGTACATGAAGAAGAAGAAGAAGTTGTAAAAGGAGGCAGAGTTCTATATGCGATTTTAATTATGTTTCAGTTGTGCCTTTTAAGGAAAGAAAAGCTAAAATAATAGAATTATAACTAAAACAATAACAATTATTGGGGAAAATGTTTAACTTCTATTATCGAAAAAACATACAATAAATAGATAGGTGTCATAAACAAATTGATTTACAAGAATGATTCATTATTTTCTAAATTAATCACTTCTAATTTAAAGATCTGCTTTATATTTCATTCAAACCGTCAGATATAGATACCCATCCATTTACACAACTAAATAAACAAATCACGTGGTCTCTTTGGAAATTTTGATTTTTTCATTTACGTTATACAATACTCTGAATTTGTCGTCATTATGTGTACATGACTTTTTTTTCATCGTGTAATTTGTTTAGAAAAATGATTATGTAATCAATGTGCGTAAGGCATTAAGAGAAAATGAATTAAAAATAGTAGAAGTTTGGAATATAAAGGAGTGACGATGATTTGTTATTAGTAATATCAAACAGAACAAGATTTGCTATGCTTTGGTTGGCTTATTTAAATGAATATAAATGTGACTAATGTAGTTTTAGAACGTAAGTAAGTTTTCCCGGTTTTTGAAAGTGCTTATCATTTTTTTTTCCTAAAACTTTTAAACCATACTCACTATGTTGTGATGCGTTGATTTGATTTGTCCATGCGTGCATTCACGCAAACTGAGTATGACGCGGTTTGTCAATGCGATGCGTCGATGCGATTCGTTAGTTCGTTTTGAAATTGCTCAATTTTTTTCGAGATATTTCGTTTAATGATTCGCATCGACGCATTTGACAAACTGCATAGACAAACCTCCATCAGCGCATAGTGAGTATAGTGCTTAAGTCTTTTAAAGCATATTGCTATAAACAATTGTCACACATAAGGAATTTGCTTTACTGAAAATTCTGTTCTTCTTTGATTAATATAAACACCATAGATAAATTTCTTACACAAGAACCGTTCTGTTTTCCAAACGGGAACCAACTGAAAGCGAAACTGACGAATCTGGAACACTTCCAGTGTCTTCCAACGGTCTAAGACACTCAAAAAAGTTTACTCAGAACTTACGACCGAGAAAAATCAAATGTTTTCCTTGATTTAAGTAAAAACAAGCTTCCGATTGTCCACGGGGTTTCTAACAGGACACTGTCTCCTCAACGAACACCTCAGAAGGCTGAAGCTGAGAAACAACGGTGAATGCAGATTCTGTGGGAAAAATGGGGAAACACCAGAACACCTTATCACTGAGTGCGCTGAGACGATGACTATTCGTGCCATGAACTTTGGTACGGCTGATGTCGAGGATGAAGAGTTGGCCTCTGTGGAGCCGTCTCAGATACTGGCTTTTGTTAAAGCCCTGAGACTGTATGATGAGTTATAACTCGTTACAACTCAAGAAAGGGGAACACACAATAGATCTGTAAGGTCGCGGTGATTAACTCCCCTCCTAAACATTCTATATTCTACACATCGAGGGGGTGCGAGGAAGTCCAATACAGATGTTGCATGGTTTATAATGATATATATATATCAGAATGTGCACCATTATATATGGTATACCGGGTGCGTCTCAAAAGTAGCTCACCCCTATAACATTTTTTCAGAAAAAAACGAGATTTGATATGTCAGTATATGACATAAATTAGGATTGATTGACGGATTCAATAGTTTTTGGTCACTTCCTGTTTCAACGGAAATGACTACAACTTTTGATTTTTAAATAGCACCCTCGGTATTTTTTTACTTTATTCGGTAGAAAATGACAGTCCGAATAGCATGACATATCATATGTCAACTTCTAACATTCTCGCTTAATGAAAAATCATATTTTAAAATTTAATCTAGAGTGACATGGCCATGCTAAAAACGCTAAATCGTATTTTTAATCATATCTCACTTTTTTGAAATGGAACGAGGGTGGCACATTAGCATATTTGGAAAAAGCATTTTTTTACGAATAATTTGATGCCACATATTTGGTATTTCGAATCAAATTTTCGTCACGAACCGCAAGTTATAATTTCAAATAAACCAGATGCGTAAATTTCAAAAGTTGAAATATGATATGTCATTCTATTCAGAGTGTCATTTTCTATCGAATAAAGCAACAAAACACCGAGGGTACCATTTAAAAATCAAAAGTTGCAGTAATTTCCGGTGAAACAGGAAGTAAAGAAACGATCGAATACGTGAATGGAAGTAAAGAAACGTTGAAAACAATTGAATACGTCAATCAATCTTAATTTATGTCATTTATGTCAACATACCAAATCTCAATTTTAACTGAAAAAATAAAAAAGTTATAGAAGTGAGTCATTTTAAAAGACGCACCCGGTATATATCCTAAAAATAATTTGTGATATACAGGGTGTCACAAAAAAAGTTATGATGGGGGTTTTAAGTTTAAGATATAATAAGAGATAGAATGGCAACACCGCATAGTGCTTCAAATAAAAATAGTATACTATATGCAGAATTTTATGCTGAATTCAATTATCTACAGGAAAGGGATTTTTTTTCAAAAAATTGCAATTTAAAAAAAAAACTAATACTTTATCATAAATTTTTTTGTGACACCCTGTATACAACAAACTATTTTTAGGATATGCCTCTTTATAAGCCATGTAACATTTATGTAAAACTTTCATATCTTTGATACCGACAATGTCTGACTTCCTGGTGCTAATAGGCCACCCTGTACCTAGGTATGTATCTACTTCCATTATGCCTGAAGAATAATTTTGTTTGCATTTTCTTTGGCATATCTTGTCTTTGGCGTTTTAAAATAATGAATTAAATATCACTAAATAGGTAAAACCCTGTATAACTTAACAACGTAAGAACCAACGGCTTATCCCAGTTTCCAGTAATAGAGTTTATTCATTTTCTTCCTTAAGTATACTTATCGACATTGTATATAAGTGGCTAGGCTTAAACACCATTTTAAAAGAATATATTTGCAGTATTTGCAGTCACATTCTTTTTGTTTACTCTTTATTAGCTATACGAGTCTTGAACAAATGCTCAGTCAAGCTCAGTCGAGAAAGTTGCGTGAATCTGTTTGTTTGGGGTGATAATATACAAAACACGAATACTTATAGAACAATAATATAGTCCTTTATTTATGCTATTATTTAAATATTTTTATTTACAACCACATATGTAATACTGACATTACTAACTTTTAAAAAATTTGAAAGTGTCAAATTATCTACATTTCTTCCCTCTTCCATTTCCCTCATCCATTTCCCTCACTCGGTTTTTCTTATTTCTCGCCTCATTTAATCAGCCTCGGATCTAAGGGGGGGCAAATCGGGGCACCTGCCCCGGGCGCCAGTGTCAAGGGGCGCCAAAATCATAGTATAATACGTTGAAAATCAAAAAAATTGCTACAGAAAGCGCCTAGTATGCATCTTACGTTCTTCTATCAAGTATTCATTTAATTTTAAAACGCTCAGTTAGTTTTTGAAAGTTTCATTCAGAATCTCGCAATTAGTGGAATAAATTAGCGGTTTCAATTATTACACTTTATACTTTTCAATTTACGATCATTCACAATGTTTAAAAAACACAATTAACATTAATAGAATATCCTAGCAACAGCTTG